TGATTTTCTTTAAAAAGAAACTGAGACTATAAGGTTTATGAGAAGTTAACTCTTTTTGTGCATATATTCGTGAAATTTTCAGTTATTGCTAATGTGTTTTTGGTTAATTTTTAGAATTCAATCAAAACACTTTGTAATACTATTAGTTAAAGAAAAACTTATAGGCACGGACGTTTCTACATTTTGTCCATTTTTATATATAAAATATCGCTTTTCCGTGTAAAATTATATTTTAAATCCCGTTTTTACATTTTCGTGTTTTTACTTTTTTTCTCTCTCTCTTCAGTTTTTCCCCTTTATATATAATGGCCTTACAGGGTCAAACCCACCAACACCAACCCTCTCACCAAGATCATTTTGATGGTTTTAGTGTTATTAGTCATGCTTCAACCCTAGCAATTTCAGTTACTACTAATACTACTCTTGATCTCTTTCATACTACTAACCCTTCTTCTTCTTCTTCTTCTTCATATATTGAACTAGAAGAACCCTCTCCTTTGCCTTTAGGTTGCCAGAAGTTCCTTGATCTTAAGGTAAGGTCATCAAGTTGTACTTTTAGGTCATCAAGTTGTACTTTCTGGCTTTGTTTTTAGGGTTAATTAGGCTTTCTAGAAGGCTTTGAGTTTGCAAATAATTTTACAGTCCTGCAATTTGTTTACTTACTATATGTATTTTAGTTGATGAATTGAACTCTAACTTGCTCTGTTTTTAGACAGGTGAAATATACTACACAAAGAACAAAAACAAGATGAATAGAAGAAACGGTAATGGAGGACCAAAGCTTGAGTTGAAGCTGAATTTATCACCTCCAAGGGATAATCCGAGAGTGGAGTCGCCAACGCGATCAGCAACGGTTTCACCAACATCACCACCAAGTTCATGTGTATCATCAGAGCTTAACCAAGAAGATGCTCTGCGATACACAAATAGCCCTGAAGCTACTTCAATGGTCCTTGTTGGATGTCCTAGGTGCCTCATGTATGTTATGCTGTCTGAAAATGACCCTAAATGCCCCAAGTGCAAGAGTACTGTGTTGCTCGATTTTCTCCATGACAATACTACCCAAACAAGGAACAATTGAAACAAAGAAAAACGAAAAAAGGAAAAACAGAGTAGGGTTCCTTGTTCTGATTGTGCAACCATTAGGATTAATAGGCTCTCTATATCTTGCTTCTTTTTTTTTTGTATCTAAAATAGTGCTATCTGGGCTCCATTTTCTTTTTTATGGGTGGAGGTTTAAAATTGGTACGAATGTAGGGAAAGAGAAAGTTAGGAAAATAAAAAAGTTGGAGCCTGAATAGTACTATTTCTTTTTTTCTTTTTTCTTTTTTTTTGTTTCTTTTTTTTTTTAAATTCTAGTCATAGGAAAAAAAAAAAAAAAAAAAAAAAAAAAACCTAGCTTAATTTTCACCAACAGGAGACTTCATGGGGACCAAACCTATGCTCATTTGCACCTAATGATGATTACAGGTTAATCTCTCTATCTTGGAAAACAGAAATCTATACCCGAACCCAACTAGGTACGGATTATGATTTTATTCGAGTTAATGTTTAATACGCTAATCTCTAAATCACTGACTAAACCAACCAGTTTCAGAACAATGTTTGATTTGAGTTGTTATTTAAGTTAGTAATTAACTGCTAATCTCTAAATCACTGGGCAAAACAGATAAAACATAATTCTTAATGGAGATGATGACTATATATGCTAATAACAAAAGCTTATAGGATGACTAAGCTTATAGGATGACTAAGGATTCACCACTAGGCAACAAAGAGAACAAATGTGATTATGTTCTTAGCCAAGAAGCACATTAGGAACATGTTGTTGACTTTACCGTTTTGATTCACAGAATAATACAAAAACATCCGCAACCTAAAAGAAAGCAGGAGGAGTAGGCAAGTGTCAAGGCTATGAAATGACAAATCTTTGCCGAGTTAGGGCCCTAAAGTTTCACAATTGGGCAACCCTTTAACGGTCTTTATTGCTTGCTTCTTGCTAGTTAGATATCAACAAGAACAAGATCAAGATCAAAAACCAGATTAAACACAAGAGGAAACATTGTTATTTATCCTAAAAACCACATTAACAGAAAGATTTTGATACATATAGGTCAGATAATTATATTGAAGGAAAAAGGTGGGGGCAATTAAGTAAATGAAGAAAGAAGGGGAAGTCGGGTAGTTCGGGCATTGAAAAAAGAGGGGCTATATTAGATTGAAACGCCATTAAAACACATAAATGCAAGAGTAATTGAGACAGTTGGGCATAATGAAGGGCTATTACGTCAGATGATAAATACAAATTTAATTCCACCTTGGGCTATTGTTCAATCTTTCTTTTCTTCAATTTTTTCCTTTCCTTTTCACTACCCTTCTTACCAATCACTCAATGCAACCTCTCTGTTGCCATTCTCTATTTTGGCAAAACCCTTCTCGACTATGACTATCATTCCTTGTCCATGTTCTCACCATTAATTTCTGTTTATTGTTTTCAAACCATCTTCCTCATCTCACACATAAGGTTTATTAGGCAATGAGGTTAGGAACCGTTTTTCCAACGAGGACTACTTTATATTATTGGGAAAAAAAAAAGAGAACTATTTGAAATTGTTATTTAGTACTTTAAAGCTTTTATAGCTAAATAATGTCAAATTTACTATACGTAGATATTTAAAAAAATCCATAAAGACATTTTTTTTATACCATTTAATTATTAACATTTTTAATATATTTCATCCCTTCCACTTTAATAGTAACAAATAGGGATTTTATTTCGTTCCACTTTAAGTGCTCATTTAGGATTTTGAGACTACATTAATTATTTTTTTTCAATTTATCCATATTTATTAGGTGTTTTGTAACCAAATTAAATGAGAAGCTTTTAATTTTAAAAAAGAAAATTTAGATATTCTACCATATATTTTTTTTGAAAATTAATGTATTCTAATCATTTTTGTAATCATTGTGAAAGATCAAATATTACTATTAAAGTGAAATGAAGGGAGTAATGTTTTTTCTCAATAAAAACTCAAACAACCACATCAAGAAAACTCATACTACTCTCTCTCCCCGCAAATATGCACATAGATATCATACTATTGAAATTACACATTAAAAGCCCAGGGAGTGCCAAAAAAAAAGCATTATCTCATGTTTTTCCATTTCTCCAAGTATTGTAGAAAAATAGGAATAAAAATAGGATATCATACTCTCTCTCTCTCTCTCTCTCTCTCAAAATCCTATATAATGACTGTAAGGAATTTCCTTTTAAAAACTGAGCTCGCCCAAACATGTGGAATACAAAACACTGCCCAATTTAAAACTCCAAACTCCCAACATCTTCCACATATATCATAACACAACAACACTTCTATATTTTCAAATTATATAAATCCTCAATAAGCAGTTAATATTCATCAATTAATTGCATTCAGTATAATATCAAGTCTTAATAAACTAATCATTAAACTAATCATACCAACTCTCTTGAAATATTTTATATTCAATCATTTAATGAATCTTATGCTGATCTCTGAATATATACACCAACATAATTGCTAGTGACATGCTTAAGTTATAATTCAAATAATACAACCTCCGAAAATAGAATACTTTTACATGCCATAATTCTTAATTACATAAATCTCAATCTACTACTACCACAATAGTCACTTCTGCCCTGATGCTATTCTTCTAGTCTTCAAGCAGCAACCACAGTCTTTAACCTGCGCATGATAAAAATCAACGCGCTGAGTATAAAACTCAGTGGTGCTCATAATTCAATAATTCACATACTTTACTAAAGTTGTGGGATGACAAGCTTACTTAAAACGACAAATGACATAAAATCATTAAAATTTCAAACATCTGTACATTTATAGCAAAAGAAATATCAAAATAAGAACTATAATTAATAACATAAAGAATTAATTTCTTTCAACTTCATTAAATTCATTTACTTGCACATTTATTATACCAATACAAATACTATTTATGTTTAAAAACCATGTACTGGAGATATCATGCTTTGAAGAATTCATTTGATAATCATAATCTTAATTCAAAGTAAGATTTTAGCTAAAATAATATGATCTCTTGCGTTTAATCCAAATACTTTGAAAGTAATAAGACGGATTATAAATACAAATATGTTAATTTCTTTAGTTAAGGCTCGTAACTAATATAGATCATGAATAAGCCAGATTTGATCGTGGCCTTGTTAGCGCCACCCCCATCACAACAATCGTGGGCCTATGAAAGCAGATCGTGGCCTATATTAGCGCCACCCCCATCGCACAATCGTGGCCTATGAAAGCACCACCCCATCACACAAATAAGCGCGTCCGCCTATTTGTAAGGGATGATAACCCTAGCATATGATCATAGCTTCACAATAACAAAATCAATCTCATCATACCACGTTTCAATCATGCATAGTAGAGCCCATCGCACACCGTGGCCTATGAGCGGTGGCTGTGAGCGATGGCTGTAGTGACAGTGCACTCACCTTAGGCGAATCCCACATCGGTTAAGTGTGAGAGGGAAGTGATGTACTTAAGGTGGGCGACTTAATACCCATCACTTCAAAATTTCTCAACTTACAACTGACAAAAATTACCACATTCTTTTTACGATAGTATATATATTCTTTATATAGGAAACTTTCTCCTAAATTCCTTTTCTTTTAAAACTTTCTTAACGTCATAATGAAAGTTATCATAAGAAACGTCTTATCATATAAAATCATACTTTACTTATGTAAAATTCAAAGCACATACACCTTAAATACCCATTTTTTTTAAACTCTAAACATAAGAGTTATCAAAATAATTCAACTTATGTCATAGATATTGTAGATAGCATACCATTACAAAAAAATAATAATTAAGTAAGCCTTACCACCCTAGAGTGGTTTGGCCTCTTTAATGAAAACAAGGGAGGAATTTCCTTCTCCAACAGCATACTAACATAAATAACTCTTATGCACCAAGGTATCCATTTCTATCCTCATCATGCAGTATCTAAACTAATTCCACACTTTATCCCAAAATTTCCAATAATTTTTCCCATTTATATACATTTAAACATATCCACAATACCACTTTTCAAACTTATATCTTATTTTTGTCAAATCAATCCTCAAACATACAAATAATCAAGAGAACCTCATCACACATGATTCATACACACATTTATCCAAATAAACCTATGAGTCAAGGCATAGGAAATTTCCAGCATTAAAATATCGTTGACCTTTGCTGTGTTTTTAAGACATAACTTGAGTTATAGGTCTCCAAATTGAATGAAATTAGATTCATTAGAAAGATAAGATAAAATGTTACAAATTTTATGAAGGGACCACAGCCCAGATCAATGAATGTATAAGGTGGTACATAGAAGCTAGGAACACAAACCAATAGTCCAGACCCGATTCAGCAGAACTAAGTCCAATGTTTATTGAATTCCTACTTAACCAAACACTCAAATAAACCAATACAAAACCAGAGAAGTCTCAAGACATAGGGAAACAACTCTCATGAAGAACTCAGAACATAATCTTGTCATTATAGTGGTCAAATTTGGCACTCAATTCAGTGATGCATGTGGCCCGACACAACAGAGTCAGTTTGGGTGTTTCAGCCACAAGTTGAGCTATATATCTCCAAATTGGACCCAAGAGGATGGGTTGGAAAGCTAAGAAGTAGACCTACAACTTTTATGAGAAAGTTTACCTTACAACATTTCTATGAGGACTCAGACACAAATTGGAAAATAAAAATGGTCGAAAATAGTCCTTAATCTCACCCCAATAAAACTTTTTCCAAAATTCAGCTACTAACCATTGAAAAAAAAAACATGGAACAACCAAAATACAAGGTAGAATTTCTACCACATACTAAATATCATCAAACATCACCCAAGAGCATGTTATTGCAACCAAAGTTCAACAAATTCAATCATTTCATACCAAAAATCCCAAATACATGTATCTGATAGCATAAATGCACCAAAATCAAAAATTCAAGTAAGGTAAGTTGTTTATGAAACACTATCCTTAAAAATAAGCTTTTAGCAAGCTTAAATTAAAGCTTTCTAAGCTCTTAACTTTTGCCTTTACTCCATGGTAGAGGGTTTCCCCAAACCTTTGGCTTAAGTAAGAGATCTCCAAATTTCTTGAAAACTGATCAACCAAATCACTTCTCAAGCTTAATTCTCTAAGATTAATTACTTAATCAAGGGGTGGGTTTAATTTGGTGTGGATTAACAAAGTAAGAAGTGAAGAAAAACAAAGAAGAGAAGAAGGAAGAGGAAGTGGCGTTGA